TGCAGTCCATGGGGTCACAAAGAGTCGGACACGACTGAGCGACTGAACTCAGTATATATATATACTGAACCCTGTTAAGTAGTGGTATGAGCTTCTCTATATCATTACTTATTCACATGATCTGATGATTTCTTAGAGAAATACCTCACTTCAAATATGTTTGAAAGTCTGCCCAGCAACCCCAGTACTTATGTCTTGTTAGGTTATTCTGAACTATTTCAAACCTTCTCCATGTTTCTCAAATTTTTGCTACCCTTCCCCTAACCATCACATCCTACTTTTTATATAAGATATAAAGGGTCAAACTGGATCACCTTCATCTGCCTGGTATCAAACATACAACTTACAACTGTCTACCCTCATCCTGTTCCATTTAACTTTTTTTTAACTGTTTCTTTGCTCACCGCTTTCTTTTTTTTTCACCACTACTTCTATTTCACATCATTCTCTTTTTCAGATTCATTTATTTCATTTTGCTGTAATTGGGCTTCCGTGTTGTCTCAGACAGTAAAGAATCTGCCTTCAGTGCAGGAGACCCAAGTTCAATCCCTGGGTGGGGAAGATTCCCTGGAGAAGGGAATGGCAACCCACTCCAGTATTCTTGCCTGGAGAATCCCATGGACAACAGAGCCTGGTGGGCTACAGTCTCTAGGGTTGCAAAGTTTCGGACATGACTCAGTGACTAACACTTTCACTTGCTGTAATACTTACCTGAGTAATTCATAAAGGTTCTGAATATGCCTACAATGTGTTCTGAATATATCAGAAAATTAGAATCTGCAAATTGGAGCTTTGTTCCTTGTATTACTTCACTCCTTATCCTTCCCCACTCAGGGCCAGTCATTCTATTTACAGTCATCCCTCCGGATCCACAGAGGATAGGTTCCAGGACCCCAGTGGATGCCAAAATCCTCAGATGCTCAACTCTCATATAAAATGACATGGTATTTGCATATAACCTATGCACATCCTGCCCTGTACTTTATTATTATATTTTGGAGTGTATTTATTTTTATTGAAGTAATGTTGATTTATAATATTAAATAAGCTTCATATGTATATTTCTACTTTCATATACCTTACAATATGCTCACCACCAAAAATTTAGTTTCCATCCATAACCTTACAGTTGATCCCCATTTCATCCTCCCCACTTTCCTCTGGTAACCACTAGTCTATTCTCTGTGTCTATGTCTTTGTTTTGGTTTGATTTGTTCATTTATATTGTTGCAATGGAATATACTAAGCCAAAGAAAAGAAATCTTGCCATTTTGCAACAACATGGATGGACCTTGAGGTTTTTATGTTAAGTGAAACAAGTTAAATGGGAGAAAAACAAATACTGTATGATTTTTACTCATGTGCAGAATATAAGAAACAAACAAAAATCAAAACAAACTTTAAAAAAACTGAAGTATGGTTGATTTACAGTATTATACGTTACAGGTGTACAATACAGTGATTAACATTTTTAAAGGTTATATACCATTTAGAGTTATTATTAAAACTCCCATGATACTTTAAATCATCTCTGTGTTACTGATAATACCTAATACATGTCAATGCTATGTAAATAGATGTAAATACAATGTAAATGCTATGTATATAGTGGCCAGCTCTGCAAATTCATGTTTTGCTTTTCAGAACTTTCTGGATTATTTTCTATCGAAAGCCTTGGTTCTTCTTTTTATGTTGCAGGCTTTCTCCAACTATTTCTGGTAATCCTTTGTTGTCTGTGCATTGGTGAATAAGGGACAACTTGATTAGCAAAGATAGGTTGCCTGGGTTCCCTCTACAGTTGTGTGTCTCTGTCCCCTCTCCTTAGCAGAAGGACTTTGTATAAGTGGGTTGTGTGTGTTGAACTGTCAGGCTCCCCTTTAAGGTAAGTGCCTCTGCCAGAGTCAGAAAGGGCCATTCATTCTCCTCGCTCCCTGAAAACTGCCGAAACAGTTTTACTCTGGCAGTGGAGAACTTTAGTGTATTTCTCTCCTGTCCAAAGTTGCTTCTCTCTTTTTGTTTTTCCACATATTTTGCGGAAGTCCAGATTACACCAAAGTCTGTTCTGTTGTTTTTTCCCCTAGGATCCTGTATTCACACTAGCAAATTTTTGGGAGCAAATAGCTCACTTTCTTTAGTGTGAAATTTTAGGCTTTAACCTTGGAATGGGTTGGGGAAGGGGGTGTAGGACTGATCACAAGGGGGCCCAACTGATCCTTCTTTCCTGAATACAATTCTTTAATTGACAAGAGAGCTTCCCCTCCTCTTTGCATTTATTTATTCTGAAATTTTATTTTCTCTGGATTTAATCCAGTAATTTTCCCTTGCAGGTTTTGAACTGGACTCCTTCTCTTTTATCACTGTGATCATATTCAATTTCTATCCTCAAGGGATCTTCACAATTTCTGAACTGCTGAAGGTACAGTTTGCTTTAATTATACCAGTCTCAGTCCTTTTGCTATTCTGATGTTTTAAGAGATTTGGAGAAGAGAGGATGGAGACAAAGTTACAAGCACTTAGGCTGCCATCTTGATCTAATCTTAACAAAGTCATTTTCTTCTGTCAATTTGACTGAGGCAATGATAGTGGCTCACTCTGAGAGACCAGAGGAAAAGGCCTCTTCCAGTTCTGGCTTCTGATTAGTCAAGACTTCTAATAAGGGTGCATTAAGATTAATCTAGTTTTCTGCAGGCCAGTGCTTCTGAGAGCACCAAGGTGACAAATAGCAGGCATGATCTCAGAAAAACAGTACACAAAAAAATGTGCCCCCTCTCGGTGAGCTGATTAGAAAAAGGCACTCATTTGGGTTGTTCTTGTTTAGTTGATAAGTCATGTCTGACTCTTTGCAACCCCATGGACTATAGACTGCCAGGCTCCTCCTGGGATTTTCCAGGTAAGGATACTAGATTGGGTTGCCATTTCCTTCTTCAGGGAATCTTTCCAACCACAGGATGCCAGAGGTAGAGGGGACAAAACCTTAAGGGTATGAGGTGTCTTTCATGGGTTTCAGAAATGTTCTGAAACTGACTAGTGATGGTTACATGTACCTGGAATTCACTAAAAATCATTCAATTTTACACCTTGAATGTGTAAATTGTATGGTATGTGCATGCATGCTTAACTGCATCTGACTCTTTTGTGACCTCATAGGCTGTAGCCCACCAAGCTCCTCTGCCCATGAAATTCTCCAGGCAAGAATACTGGAGTGGGTTGCCATTTTCTCCTTCCTCCAGGGGATCTTCCCACCCCAGGGATAGAAACCAAATCTTTTCTGTCTCCTGCATCAGCAGGCGGTTCTTTATCATTAGCATCACCTGGGAAGCCCTTTAAACACAAAGAAAAGTTTAAAGAATTTCACAATGAACACCAATATACCCCCCAGATAGATTGTACAAGTAACATCCTATCATTATATTCTAATAGCTTTATTGTATTCTAGCAGTACTAGAAATAGAAACAGGAAAAAGAAGTATCCCATTCACAATAGTGGAAAAGTTATGTGTGAAACATCTACTGGCAAGGCAAATAAGGACTCCCCAAATTCAGCTGTCCCTAGACAAATGATCAGAAAGGAGCAACCTAGCAAGACAGAACATTTTAGAAAACTGATGTATTCTAGCCAAATGCCACGGAAAAACTGCGCCCCACCCCTCAGCCATGCCACCCTGGGCAGACTGCCTCGAGGCGGCCATCTTATTTCTCCCACGCCGGTGCTCAGCAGAGACCACGTGAGGAGCCTGCCGCCGCCCCCCCCCCCCCCCACCGGGATGGTGGGCAAGGAGACCCAGAGGAGAGTCAGAACTTTCCCACTCATTAGTGTTAGTTCAGGAAGTGCACTGGTCTTGAAACTGAACAACTTTGGTTGACCTGCCGATGTCCCATAGGTATTATTATAAAAGAGTGAATAGCTCAGACTTTGGGAAACGAACATATCCATCGACAGTAGATCTTTTGAGGTGGTGTTTTTTTTGGCGCTCACTAGGCTGCAAGCGGGGTTTCCCCTAAAGGGATTGGTCAGATTTGTTGTCAATTATCCTTGAAACCCAATAAGTCCACTGGAAATCCAACCTTGGTGGACAGGACTTAACTCGAAGGTTGGGCACTTGATGCTTAGCGTGACCTCGTGAGCCCTGAGGTTTTGAGATCGAAGTAGATAGAACAACAAACAACAACCAACCCTGTCATGCCTCTAGGACGGTGAGTGAAGTGGCTCCTTTGAGATTGAGTAACGCGGGGAGGGTTTCATGTCTGAACTAGTAAGTTCAGTAAGACATGGACCTACTTTTTTGGCCAAGAGACCCTAAGTGGTGCCACATCTTTACTGAGGTTTTCAGTTATTCTATATGTTGTACTTTCGTTCGTTATTCTCTAACTTCTACAAGAGGGAGATTAGAGTTACAGCTTTTATTAACGTGCGGGATGGAGAATTAAAGGCAAAGTATGTGAGAGAGTATCTGTCCGAAAACTGCCGCTGGGGAAGTGACGACCAGGGGAGGACCCTCAACCTCATAGGTCGGTAGCCCTGATGAGGTCACAATAGAAGACCATTGGAGACCTGGCTCAAATCACAAGTGAGCTCATACGGGGGAGAGCCCTCAAGATAGTTGCGGGACAGCTGGAGGGGAGCCCAGTTGTATGCATTCAAGCTAGCTGGGGCTCAAGCCATAGGGAAAAAAAAGGGTTTTTTACCTTCCCGCTCTCACTAAGCCATCGTAATTTGAGGTAGGATTTGAAAGGCTACATCAGACTTCCCAGTTGAAGATGTTTGTCTGGACAAATGTTTTTTTCTCTCCCCCGAACTAGCTTTCAATGAAAGAAGGGAAGCACAAGGGAAAGGTAAGAATAGCGGGCCGAAATTGTGAGGATTTTCTTGAAGATAGGAAACAAATATGGTAAAATTAGTTGGGAAACCAGAGTCATTGAATCCATAAGGCCATAGAGAAATGGGAGAGGGCAGCTATAAAACCAAATTCTCTGTTCTTTAACCTAGCTCCCAAATACAGATGATGTCACGGTCACCTGGATCATTGGATGGAAGTGACGATGAAGCCATCCCAGAAGGCAGTGAAAGTGAGGCATGTACTGGTGAGTAAATGAACTTGTAACACTTTAAGTCCAAATAATTGTTAAGAATATATCTGGGGAGCTTGAGTCAATTACCAAGTTATTCCTGAGAAGATCAAGTATAATGAAACCTTTAATAAAAAAATTAATAGCAAGGTGGAAATCAGATTACCCGAGAGGGATCAGGGGATGGTGATCAAGTGGGCATTTCTGCTTTTACTTTGCTGTGGTTGTTTTAGTGAGAATGAACTCATGTAATATTTTGACAAAAACTTTATAATAAAGTTTGATCATATTTAGTGTTGCTAATGGTATACACAATCGGTGGTCATTCTGATGGTGGGTGTGTATCTGCAACATTCCTTAACGCTAATATATCTATCAATATGTAAATATACCTTCTGCCTGACCCAATTCTATTTCTTTTTTTTAAAATTTTTTTTTCCAATTCTATTTCTAATATATCCTCAGAAATACTTCTACACAGACACAAAGGTCTCTGTTACAAGATATTCATTGTTTGTAGTAGCAACAATTGGAAGTAACCAAATGTTCCAAAATAGGGGAATGGTTACATAAAATGTGGTATGTTTTTATTATGAAAGAGTACGCAGCCCTTAAAAAGAATTAGATAGACCTTCATGTACTGTCATATTAGGCTTAAAAAGCAAATTGTAGAGCTATACATATAGTAATGACACCATTTAAAAAAAACACTAAAGCTTTCTATTTGTATACATATATATATATACACATAAATACTGAGGAAAGCTATACACGAAACTTAGTGAACAAACACTTCCAATTTTTATCCTATATTCTTCTATACTTTGCATTTACAAAATGTTTGTCATTTGTATAAATAAACAAAACTGAAAGATAAGCATCAATAGAATAGAAATAGTTTATAGAACTTCCCAACCACTAATAGCTAAAAAAACAAAACAGGAAATTCAGTCAGTCCAGCAAAAGTAAGGAAAAGGGAAAAAGAAACAATGAAGTGTGATAATTAGAATTTTTTCCTTAAATGACAGGAATATGTACACCCATAAACAGTTGTGCCTTGGTGTCCACTGGGGATTGGTTCCACAAACCTGTCTCCACACCCCCCCTCCCTCCCCACCCCTATTCCCCCATATGCCCCCACCTCCCCCCACTCACTACCTCTGGAATCCCCAGATGTTCAAGTCTCTTATTAAAATTGTGTAAGTCTCATGTAAAATGGTGTAGTACAATCTGAACTCCACATATGCTAATGTGAACTGGCAGATACAGAGGGCTGAATGTACTACACTGCCCATAAAAATGGTAAGGTGAATTCTATGAGTACTGACACAGAAAAATGTCCATGTTATAATATTAAGTGAAATAAATAGTCACAGAACAATTCACACAGTGCGATCTATTTTTTTTTAAAGCAAAAACTCTGTAAATAGCTAAATATATAGAAAAAGATATTTAATTAGAAAACCGTTAACTAAAGTTCCTTTGGGGATTGGAAGAAGCTGTCACCTTTTTTTGTAGTCAAAGATTGTTGAGACTTGGACATCTCTAATTTAGTACAACTGATCGTATTACTCTCTTCCCTGCTTGAAGCCCTTCAGTGGGCTACCCATGACCTAAATGGATTGAATCCAAATTCTGGAGCATGACGTTCAAAGTTCACCATGATCTGAACCCTACCTGATTGTCTTCATCTCCTACCATCCTATTGCATGCCAGTCCCACAGCATGTCATGCTTGCATTTGCTTAAATGCACCATTCTTTTCCTCATACTTCCATGTCTTTGTACACATTGTTGCCTTTTTCAGTTAACCTGTACGTTTCTAGATGGCACCATCGTGATATGACAAATTAAGTGCAGATTTGTATAATAACAATTCCAAGTCCCCATCTTGTGGACTATGGTAAGTCTATTCTTCCACCAGGTTGGAGGGCGATTCCTCAAGCTCTGGAATAGTTTCGGGGAATCCTCAAGTAATGCATAAATATTCAAAATATCAGTCCTACTTGTCATTTGTCATCTCCGCCAGGTATTCATTCTCTAAACTGCTATGCTAGCGTTCAACTGGTCACCGCTTGCTGTCTTTATACTTTTTAAAACTTTTTATTATATAATTTTAATGTATACAAAAGAATATATGTGACATGTAATTTATGGAGTGTAATAAAAGAAACATCCAAGAACCCATCATCAGTCTAAGAACTAGAACACTACCACTGCTTTTTTTTTTTTTTAAACGGGACTGTTTTTTAAAACAAGTATTTATTTTTGGCTGTGCTGGGTCTTTGTTGCTGGGTCTGGGTTTTCTCCAGTTGCAGAGAGCTGGGGCTACTCTAGTGGAGGGGCATGGGCTCCTCGCCACAGTGGCTTTTCTTGTTGCAGGGCACAGGCTCTAGGGCCCTCGGTTTCAGTACTTGTGGCTTGGGGACTCCAGCCCAGGCTCAGTAATTGTGGAAATCTCAACCACTGGACAGCCTGGGAAGTTCCTACTAGAACATTACCAATGCTTTTGAATCTACCTAGATTTTCCTCCCCCTTGCTTCCCCTAAAGCAATCCCCTATCATGGATTTTGTGTTTATTATTTCCTTTCCATATTTTATTTTTATCACATTATATATCCATGAGTTTTCTTACTTTTGAGCTTTAAAAGAAGTATCATTGTATGTATTCATCTGTGATTTGCTTCTTTTCTTGTAACATTCCTGTGATTTATGGCTGTAGCTGCAATTTATTTTTTAACACTGTAGTTATTTTCTTGTGTGAATATACCACATTTAGTCATTCTGCTGAAGAATATTCTCTTGCCATTCTTTGAAATCTGTGTCACAGGTGATACAGACTAGGAACAGAAAATCCTTAGCATGTTTTCAATCCTTTTGTCCTTTGTGCCACCACTAAACATTCTCCATATGCCTCTTTTTTAGCACTTAGCGTATTTAAGAGCAAGGGTCAGCAACTTTTTTTTTCTGTAAAGGACTAGGTAGGAAATATTTTAGGCTCTGCAGGCCATATGGTCTGCTGCAGCTACTGAACTCTGTTGTTTTAGCATAAAAGCAGCCACAGAAAATATGTAGATGAATGAGTATGTTCCAATAAAACGTTCTTTATAAAGACAGGCGGCTGGCTGAGTTTGGTCCACTGGCCATCATTTCCCAAACCCTGCTCAAGTTCATCTGAATTCCTGTAGCATTGTCCACTATCATAGTCATAACATGCATCTGTATCATCTCATTTCTTTTTCATTATCTTATTTCCCATGTCTCATCACACCCTCATCCTGCCCTTTGTGATTCTGAGCTCCTGGAGCTAATGATGAGGCCAACTTTTAAGTCCAATTCCTAAATGAGTGTGACTCAAAGCAAGAATTATCAGTAGCCACAGCTGCAACAGCAAGTAGGGTACAGAAGTAAGGCCCAGTACTAAGAGGCCTAGGAATTGCTATACCAGATCTGAGGCTGGGATGCTGCCTTGATTTCTCTCCTGAGCATTCTGGAATTTCCAGTTAGGACTAAAGCTATTCCCTGAAAACTAGTTTCCTTGCAATTTCCTGAATATGCCTTATTCTCTTTCACCGTCAGGATTTAAAGTAAAAGTTGCTCAGTTGTGTCTGACTCTTTGCCATCCCATGGACTATATAGTCCATGGAATTCTCCAGGCCAGAATACGGAAGTGGGTAGCCTTTCCCTTCTCCAGGGGATCTTCCCAGCCCAGGGACCGAACCCAGGTCTCCCGCAGTGCAGGCAGATTGTTTACTAGCTGAGCCTCCAGGGAAGCCCAGTGTGCTCCCTGTTTTCCTTCTTTGTGTCCCCTGCTCATTCACACTCCCCTGGCCTGGTTAATTCCCACTTCCCTCTGAGATTTACTTTCTCTGAAAGCTACTCTTAACTCCTCAGCCCAACCTTTTCTCCACCCCACCACACCCTACCTTCCTAAGATGTGCAGAGGTCTCTCCTCTGTGTTCCTTTTCCAGTTCAGCCCCACAGTCGTGTCCAACTCTTTGCAACCGCATGGACTGCAGCACACCAGGCTTCTGTGTCCATCACTAACTCCTGGGGCTTGCTCAAACTCATGTCCATCGAGCCGGTGATGCCATCCAACCATCTCATCCTCTGTTGTCCCCCTCTCCTCCTGTCTTCAATCTTTCCCAGCATCAGGGTCTCTTCCAGTGAGTCAGTTCTTCACATCAGGTGGCCAAAGTATTGGAGTTTCAGCTTCTGCAGCAGCCCTTCCAAAGAATAATCAGGATTGATTTCTTTTAGAGTGACTGCTTTGATCCCCTTGCTGTCCAAGGGACTCTGAAGAGTCTTCTCCAGCACCACACTTCAAAAGCATCAATTCTTCTGCACTCAGCTTTCTTTATTGTCCAACTTGCACTTCCTTATGTGACTACTGGAAAAACCATAGCTTTGACTAGATGGACCTTTCTCAGCAAAGTAATATCTCTGCTCTTTAATATGCTATCTAGGTCGGTCATAACTTTTCTTCCAAGGAGCAAGCGTCTTTTCATTTCATGGCTGCAGTCACCATCTGCAGTGATTTTAGAGCCCAAGAAAATGAAGTAGTATATCACTGTTTCCATTGTTGCCCCATTTATCTACCATGAAGTGATGGGACCAAATGCCATGATCTTTGTTTTTTGAATGTTGAATTTTAAGCCAGCTGTTTCACTATCCTCTTTCACTTTCATCAGGAGGCCCTTTAGTCCCTCTTCGCTTTCTGCCATAAGGTGGTATCATCTGCATATCTGAGGTTATTGATATTTCTCGTGGCAGTCTTGATTCCAGTTTGTGCTTCATCCAGCCTGGCATTTTGCGTGATGTACTCTGCATACAAGTTAAATAAGAAAGGTGATAATATACATCCTTGATGTACTCCTTTCCTAATTTGGAACCAGTTCATTGTTCCATGTCCAATTCTAACTATTGCTTCCTGACCTGCATACAGATTTCTCAAGAGGCAGGTAAGGTGGTCTGGTATTCCCCATCTCTTTAAGAATGTTT